GTACTATCCCTGCATGTACACCAAGGAAAACATAAAAACCTTAAAGAATAAAGATGGCTGTCTTCTCAGATGTTGCACAGTATATAGCCTGGTAGATACTTCCAGACATTTCAGAGTCACCTTGATAATGGATGTAGTAATCTCTAAAATGTCAGTCATATCTACCAGATGACAAGGCACATCTCCATACTTGTCCTCACTGTGAGAATTTTAAATCTCACAAAAACTTGTCAGAATAGCCAGCATCCTGGAAAAAATTCAAACCAGGGACCTTCCAATACGAAGCAGGAGTGCTGATCACTTAGCCAATATATGACATGATCCAGTGTTTACCTTTAAGAATAGCCACTTGTTGCCATGGTGCATTGGACACCAACATTTCAGCTGCTGTGGGAGTTGAACAACGAAGGAATGCTTCATTTGACCCCATAATGACATCTACATACTCTACTTCACCAAGGGCTTTAGCATTGACCTGAAAATGGTATATCCTTAGCACTACAATATATGAATTATAACATAATTCTTTCATATTAGAACATTTGCTATTCTGGGAATCAAACAAGATGGTAATGTCTGTTAGTTGTGTAAATCAAGGACTGTCACTTGTAAGAGTTAACCAGTCAATCAGACAGTTTTGGGTAGTTTTCACAACATAATACCAGTAATATCATCTTTTGTAAAAATAAAGTGTTTCTCTTTGATGTGGATAGCACTGGAATGTATCTTTGTTATTTTACTGACATTCTGTCTTTCATCATTCCAAGAGTTGATAAAACAATGAGGTTTTCATAGTAATGTAAATACAGAAGAAAACCCACGAGAAGGCCATCTTCAGACTCACCACCGTGAAAACCCCAAATACGGCAATGTGAATGTCGATGGTGGTCTTCTGGGTTGTTGCACCATATGGTATTTTGGCTGTGTGTCAATGTTCATCTGAAATGTTGGCATAAAGCCAAAATACTATAATGGCACAATACTACCATCAAGATTTGATAAAATTTTAAATATGAACAATATATATACACAAGTGCACAGGTGTTAACTTCGGTAACTCTTTCTGTGAGTGAAGCGTTTCAACTATTTCATTTATCTGCATGTTTCTACTCTTCTAAAACAATTACCTTGAACTTCCGAACTTCTGAAATGGGCTCATCAAGCAATGCATGTACAATAACTCCTGGAGTGAATGTGAATTTTGGTTTTTTCTCAGTTTCTTGTTTTACTGAAGACTGTATCTCTGAACCTCCGTCACCATAGTCATCCTTTCCCTGGTTCTGTCCATTTGCATTATGTAACTGATCATGGTGATGAACGTGTGAATTACGGTTCCACTGATTTCTATTAAGATATTGTTTCAGACATTTCATCTTCGCTTTTTGCAAGTCCAGGTATTTGTTACGTAAACGCTTCCATTCTCGCCTGTAATTCAGAGAACATTTTCTGTACTTTGGATAAGTTTTCATTTTAAGATACATACACTGTATAAGGAGCTTTTTATATACAAAATAAGTTCAGTGTTGACAGTGAAAACATTATGGGACAATAGTCTTGAAAATCGATCTGAAAAGGAAGATAAAAAAGACAGGAAGAAAATATTACAGTAAGAAAGGGAGGTAGGAAGGAATGAAAAGAGGAAAGGAGAGAGCAGAGTTAAATTCACCACTGACTCCAGTCAACTGCTGTGCCAATGCAAAGTCCTGACAACATGCCGGCTGATCAGGCTTATTATATAAGGTGTCAAGGATGGTGACAGATGAATATACAGAATTGATAAAATGATAATTAGTAGGGGACTCGGAAGAAACCATCCTGCCGTCACTCTATCCACCAACAATCTGGCAGATATTGCACTAAGACTGAATACAGAACTCTGCAGTAAGATGTTAGTGACTAAGTGCCTGAGCTGTGATGTGGTACAGAAAATTAATGACAAAATAATGAACAGAATAGAGATAATAGGTGTGATGATATATAAGATCAGCAGTTAAGAATGTCATTAAGTAATTTAATAATTAATCAATCCACATTCTAGCTAAAGTTACGTACTTTGACAAAATCTGCAGCCGGCTAACTTCAGCTTCCTGCTTATCTTTCTTGTGCTTCTTTCTTTTCCTAGTCTTCTTTTTCGCAATAGCTTTGGCTCCTTCCTCTGTCGTTTCTTCTGCATCATCATCCGCATCTTCATCCCACTGACCAGATTTAATTTTCATCTTCTTTCCTACTTCTTCATTTTCGCATTCAACACCTGACACTCCTTGCTGAAGTTCTGAAACATCTGTCTCTTCTACATCCACAATTTTCCTTTTTTGCTTTTTCCTTTCCAAAAAAGTTTCTGTGTCATCAGATTGGTAAACAGTGGATGTGTCCTCTTGAGCAGTGTCCATCTTCCTTTCTGTTCCTTCAACTCCAAACCCTTCATTCTTCTTTCTTTTCTTTTTCTCTGGATGTGTATTATCATCCTCTGATTGTGTATGCTGTGTGTTCACTTGTGTCTTGATTTTCTTTTCCAAAAAAATTTCGGTATCATCAGTTTGGTGTTCTGTTTTCTCAACTCTGGACCCTTCACTCTTCTTTCTCTTCCTCTTCTTTGGAGGTGTATTATCATCCTCTGATTGTGAATGTATTGTTTCCATTTCTATCTTGACAGCTTCACTCTCATGAATCTTTTCCCTCTTGTTTTTCTTCAAACAAACATCACTTTCTGTTTCTCTTTCTGTTTCAACAGCTTCACTTTCTTCAGCACTCATCTCCATTCCTTGTTCATATTTCCCTTTCTTTCTCTTTCTCCTCTTCTTCAAGAGCTTTTCTTGAAGTTGACCATCTTCATCCTCATTTATTTTCTCTAACGTGCCTTTATCAGATTCACCTAGCACATTTTCAGACTTTCCTTCATCAGGATCATAGGTAGAAATGCTGCAGAGTTTCTCTGGAGCAATCTGGGAAGATAAACGGCAGCCCCTCGCACCAAAGGCCTGTCATAAAAAAGCAATGTGTAGTAACATGTATTCATAATTTATGAACATTTAGTACATAATATATGAATCTTGTGAAAGTACATACATTTAGGGTAGTTGAAAAAAAATCCCTGAATAGAATATTTTGAACTAAGAAGGATGAAGGAATGGAGGAAATTACATAAAGAGCCTCACAACTTGTATAATTCAACTAATATTGTTACTAAATTACGGATTAAATAGGTGGGACATGTAGCACATTCTGGGAAAACGTAATATTCACAAAGAAATTTGATTTAAAAAGCTTTAAGGAGGAGACAACTGTGGTTCTTAAGCATATATGATTAGATATTATTAAAATGAGCCTTGAAATACATAGAATATGAAAATGTGTCCTGAATACATCTGAGTCATGATAGAGGCCAATGGCTGGTTCTTGTGAACACCTATAAAATGTAGGGATCTACTTCACCAGATGAGTGACTATCATCTTCCCAATAAACAATGCTCCACTGAGTTGGTTAGTCAAGGTATCAAAAATAATTCTCACCTCTAAAGTTTTGTTAGCCTCTTCTGGTGTATCAAATTCAACAAAAGCAAAGCCTTTAATCTTTCCACTGTTTCTGTACTTTGGGAGCGAAACATAGGCAACGTTTCCGTATGCAGAGAACACATCTCTCAGCCAATCATGCTGAGCGTCTGGAGGCAGCTGCTCCTGCAAGAATAAGAAATGTATTAGCCATCATCATCTGCTATACGTACTGAAGTACGAGTAATTCTGTGTAGTCAGTTGACAGATATATTAATTTTGTTACCAAATTCCACTGTTCATCACAAAAATCTGCCAGTGAACTGTACTCTGAGCTATTCAATCTATCTCACATCTTCACAACCTACTGCTCCTAGATTAATTTCAATATTATTCTACCATGTGTGCCTGGGTCTGTGAAGTGGTACTATCCCATAATGTTTTCACATGTATGCTAATTGTCCTACTCACCACAGAAATTTGTATCTTGAAAATTACTTTCTCACTGAACTCAAGAAGTGCCAGATAAAAGGTATATGTATGTCACAATAAGCGACAGAAAACTGGAGACTAGGATAACATAACACTCACTACATAAACTGTACAGTCATCGATGTTTTCTTTTTCTTTGATTGGAGTTTTCCGGAACACTTTGGTGCCATCTTCTGTCACAGACAATAACTCAGAATCCCTTAAGGCATCAGCTATATCTCGAAAATTTGTTGTTAGAGCCCGAATCCTGTTGAAGCACAGAAATACTGAGATGTCTATATCTGTAATAAAAACAGAGTCACATTAAAAGTTAATCAAGCTTGATTCCACTAATAAAATTATACTTTAAGAGGGTACACAGCATTTTTTTCCCAAACATTTAATAACAGACTTGCTCTTTACAATTCAGTACCAAGAGAAATTAATACTTACATGGGTCTTGCATAACAAGACTGCCCAAGAAGCGATCTTTTGTGAGATTAGCATCACCAAAATAAAATTCCATCTGTTTTCTAATCGACTTGTATAATTGTTTTTTTCGATGGCGAACTTTTTTTAATGAAACTTCACCATCTCCTTGATTACACTCAACTATAGCAGGGTTTTCCTCTTCCATTTTACCTGGAAATAATATTACAAAATATTATCTTAAAATAAACTGACATTAAATATGGTATAGTAAAAGCAATTTTAAAACATGCTGACAATGTCCTCTCTAATACACACATGGTATCCTCTGCTACCAAAGATGTTTCAGAATTTGTTTTATATTTCCCTATTAAACCCTCCAAATTGCAGAGGCCATCAGCCACAGCAATCCAAACCCTTGTGTGTTCAAATTCCAGACAGCCATCTAACTAAATTTCTTTCCATGAGGGGATAAACTGCCTGATGGGATCACACTCCCACCAGCAGCAATAGCACCTCGTCTGAACATGTTAAGGCCTTCAGCAAGGACAGAAATTCCATTTGCATAAGTACATGCAAGTTATAGTTTACCATTTCTTGCTATGTGTTTCGTATGCAGGAATGGTCTGACCTATGGATGACGTCTTGCGTTTATGCAAGACTTCACCCTTCGTCAGCTTTTTGATTGGGTGGTTTGCTACTACACATTCACCTTGAAGATGACAAATCGAAACGTCGGTTTGACGCGGCTCACACCCGAAAGCCCAAGTTATACAAGTCTAATGCAAGGAACTTACGGCTAGAAAAGGCAACATTCGCAAATTCAGTAATCTGATTCACGTATAAGAAACATGTACACTTACTTTGCATTACCTGTATTGAAATCAGAAGAACTAAAAGGCATGTTACGATGATGGTGATATAAATTTCAGAACTGATGCCGCCTAACCTCTACCATGTATAAAGGAATATTAACGTACAATAAGCATCGAGATTTCACTCAGCTATCTTGCTTCTTAATGATTTATATACGACCTCTCGCACAGAATGTTATAACAGCGATTATAATCGATACTTAAAGATCTTACTAGAATTCACGTGCAACACAACGCACAGAGTATATGAACATATTCTATTATGATTGACTGCACATTAAAAGGTTTACAAATACATTAGAAAGGCATGAAACAAGGACATTTCTTATATTAGTTATTTACTTACTTAATTATAGTAAAAACACTACGAACCATTCAAACAGGACCACCATCGCCTATGTTGGTATTGCGTGTAATCATTCCCACCAACTTTATTATGGAAACAGATGTTGGCTGTCATGTACACAGTAATCGATATTTATTTTAAATTTTTCTCAACGTGTGTCTCTGTCGGTAATTGTATTTCTCTACGGTTAGGTTGCTCACATTGTCAAATATAAAAAAATT